TCTGCTAACTCTCAAGTGAAGGAGTGGGGAAACAAAAATAGTGAAGAAATTACAACAACGTACATTCAAAAGGGAGTGATGATGTATATATATATATATATATATATATATATACTGCAAGGATTTACGAGAGGATTGTGATGATTCTTCTTATTGCTCTTGTTGATGTTATTATTATTCTTATTATTATTATTGTTGTACAGGTATGGAAGCCATTGTCCTTCTTTCTTTTTAATCTATACATCTCTCCGTAGCCATTCTTCTTCTTCTTCTTCTTCCATCCTTTACAACCTCTCTTCCTTTCTCTCTCTCTCTCTTTCTCTCTTTTTCCCCTCTTCTCTTCTCTCTACAAGAGTATCCTCCTCCTCCTCCTCCTCTCAGTTCAGTTCAGTTCACATCCTCTTCACTCTCCCCGTCACTCTCGCCGCCCACGTCCCCCTCGCAGCCGGCCGGCTCCGCACACACCCACCGCGCCAGAAACAACAACACCGTCAACGCGAGAGATCCCCACAGCGCCACCTCCACAAGAGACCCCAACCACTCTTCGCCTTCGCCTTTTCCTTTTCCTTGTTGTTGTTGAGATTCCCGTCCAACGGGCTGCGGTGATGATCGCCACCAAAGCGGGGAGTGCAGAAATCTCGCAACGGCTGGACAACTCCGCAGGGCGGCCGCAACGTACGGCTGCAGCAATTTGCCCGCAACGACGGCCGGCGTGTACGTCTCCGGCGGCAGTCGCGCCAGCAGCGCAATCACGACGCCCGCCTCCACCACACCGTTGGGAACCGCCACAGCGAGCAGCAGCAGCCACCACCCAAAGTGTGTTGTAAAGAACCCACACGATGAAGAAGAAGTGGAAGAAGAAGAAAAGGGACGTGTACGGCGTGGATGGACAAGTAAACGCAATAGTAATAACTCCGCCACCATACCGCCCAGCGCATAGAAGAACTTCTCCACGGGGAAAGCCAAAATATCCTGCACTCTTAACATCATATTATTATTATTAGTAGTAGTAGTAGTAGTAGATGTTGTTGTGATGGTGCCTGGAATAGTGCGGAGTCCCTGCGCGACGAGGGCGGGCGATGTCAATCCGGCGAGAAATTGTTTCATGTGTGGACGAGCGGCTGGCGGCAGTAAAGCCCCAACAACGCGGCGGGAGTGCCGCACCGCCAACTGCACATTCTCAGCCACAACAGCAGCGAAGGTGTCCGACATGGTGGCACCCACTGCGGGATGCGTGTAGAGAAGCACAGCGAGAAACACAACGGCAGTGAGAAGCAGCGCGGGGGCCCCGTAAAGAGATACTACGCGAGGTACCATGATAAGATAAAGAGAAGATAATAAACGGTACGCTACTGTTACTCCTATAGAAAGAAGGAGGATTATATATATATATATATATATATATATATATATATATATATATATAAAGACAAATGGAACGAGAAGGAAGAAGAAAAAAAAATAACAAAGATAAGAAGGATAAGAGGGTGGAATATATATATATATATATATATATATATATATCCTGTGAAAATGATTGAGGACATACATAAACAAGGAAAGAGTAAAAAAAAAAAAAAATAGAGAATGCGGGAATTACCCCCCTCCTTCTCTTCGATTATCATTGCAGATGTTTCTCGTTTTTTTTTTATTATAATTTCTTTGATGGCCTCTGTAAATACCTCAAAATGAAAAAGAAGAAAAAAAAAACGATTCGTAAAGGTGAACGGCAAAAGACACTGCACTCCATAAATGCACTTGCACTCTCTTTATCTCAGACACTAAACACTAAAACAGACACACCAACCCTCTCTCACTCCATCTCTCTTGCTCTTTCACCAGACTTCTTTCCTACTTTCAGTTTGTACAGAAAATTACTTGTTTTGTGCATACTAGAACACACCCTGTTCTTTTTTTTTTCCTTTTTTTTTTTCTTTTTACAACCTTAGCGAACGAAAGAAAAAGGAAAACTAAACATACACACACAATATACATATATGTATGCCCTATTCTTCCCATTCCGTCACTCTCTCTTTAGGTAAACAAAACAAACAAAAAAAAAAGTGTCTCCATACATCATCATCATCTGCGGCCATCACCCACTTGGTGTACCCATCTTTGCGTAGTACACGACGGTGGTGTACTTATTGCAGTACCTTGTAGTGAGCCCCATCACGGAGTGATCCTCACGCCTCTGAAAGTACACGTGATTGATCGTCACATTCAGTGGCAGCGGGAGATGCTCAGGCGGCATTACTTCACCAGCAGCCGACACAACGCCGTCGCGTGTGCATCGCACGGCATTTGGTGGAGTGTTGAGTGGAGTGTAGCGGAGATGCACAGGAACGAGTGGTGGGTACTTGCGGGATTCTTCAAAGATGATTTGTTCCTGTCCCCATCCCTCGCCGTCATCCATGATCTCCTCATCTTCCCGCGTCAGCAGCAGTGCATCATTTAACTCCAACAGGTTCACAGCGAGTTCACTGTTCGTATTATTATCATAATCAGCGTCATTTGTATGTTTATCATTTTGTTGTTGTTGTTGTCCGGGTGAGTCGGCGATTGGCTGAGATTTGTCCACCATATTCTTTCCATCCACGATGAAACGGTATCGATGTGTACCCTGTGGGAGTTCGAGAATAGTGTAGAAAGAGTCTTCGCTAGGCGTCATCTGTAGTGGCTGCCACTGTAATGTCTCTACGGCAACGAAGATCTTCTTCTTTCTATCCAACAGCGCTCTGGCATTCTTGTCAGCATACCGCAACACCACAGGGTATTTCTTTGTCGTACCACCAGCAGCAGCAGTCGTATTAGTAGTAGTATTAATAGTAGTAGTGGCAGTCGTATTCGTAGCGGTATGAGTGGTAGTGGAGGATGAGGAACCATCTTGTTTGCGTTCTGCAATTCGGCGTTGGGTAATTATTGCATCACCCAATGGATCTCGGTATTGTGATGGTTGCTGCAGTACATTTTCTCGAATCCCGGCTGTTCGCATTCCAACACTATGCGTAGTGGCAGCAGGAGTTGTTAGTGAACTCTTACGGGAAGCGGCATTACTCTCAGACTTATCCCGCTTGGAAAACTTAGATTCCCTACTATTTGGTTGCCCCATTTTCTCTTGTGTAAATAATAATAATAATAATAATAATAATAATAATAATAATAATAATAATAATAATAATAATAATAACGATTTTCCCCTCCTCCTTCTTCTTCTTTTGTGTTATTCTTCTTCTTCTATGTATGTGTATGTATTTCCCCCCTTTTTTGTGTTTTCTGTTTATTACTACTGAAACAAAAAAAAAAAAAAAAAGAAAAAGAAAAAGAGAGAATGAAACAGAAGAACAATAACAGCGTTAGAGAATATACATGTATACAGAAAATAAAAAAAATAAAAAAAAACATCATACCCAATGAAATTACTTGATACAGCTATAACCGCCACTATTTACTATTAATAGTAAATAGCAGAAGTAATGATAAAATTTGATCAAAATGGTGCAAAAAAAAAAAAAAAAAAAAAACACACAGGAAAAAAAAAATTCCATAAATATTTAACACAACTTTCTCTTTTCTTTCCACCCCCTCCTCTTGTTTACTGTACATAAATGAGAGACGTTTATATGACTCTCTCAACTGGTTCCATTCCATTCTTTTTCTTCTTCTTCTCCCTCTCCTTTATTCCAACAAATGTAGTTTTCCATCCATCTTTTGTAGTCTTGCCAGTAGTTTAATGCGATCTCTGCCGATCTGTTCTTCCAGTTCCCGCAGGACTGTCATTCGCTGTCTGGTGTAGTCATCATCACGGTAGGCGGCTGGCGGCACTCGGGCTTCACGCACTAATATACTTAACGACTCATCCTGCACACGCCGCATCATTTTACGTAGAGAAGGAAATGGTTCATTATACGCCAAACGCCATCCTTCTTCTTCTTCTTCTTTTACGGCTACAGTTGTTCTCGTTGTTGTTGTTGTTGTTGTTGTTATGGTTTCAATGGCTTTCATATTATTATTCTCTTCATCTTCTTCTTCAACAACTCCTTCAGTTTCTGCTCTTGGTGAGGAAACAAGATGACCGCCATCGGCTTGATGGCTGCTGGCCTCCGGTAGACGCAGTGCCCGCTGCCGCAGGAGATGCTGCCGTGCATATGATATTCGAAATCGTTTGGGAAATTCCGTTGTGGTTTGCAATTCTTCCTTTATTTCTTTTTCTTCTTCCTGTTGTTCTTCTTCTTCTTCTTCCTTTTCTTCTTCTTGTGCTTGTGCTTCCAATAACATTCCTAGATTCCTGATATTCTCCTTTACTTCCACCGGTGGAGTGGGTTCTTCCTGCGGCTTCTCTTCCTCTTTCTCTTCCATCTCCCCGAGAAGTTCGGCGATCTGCTGGCTGTACGTGACGAATAACTCACGCCGCACCTGATCGGCTTTCAAGAGACTCATATTTACACACAGCTTCCTGAATCTCTCTCTCTCTCTCTATGTGTATATATATATATATATATAGAAAGAGGTCAAATGAGAATAGATGTGTATATAAAAGATATGAGGAAATCAAAGAAAAAAAAGGAAAAGGAAAGAAAAGAAAAAAAAAGTTGTTTCATGACTGATGCATAGAGACATAAATGTAATTTTAAAGTAAATATTTTATTATTATAATAATATATGTTCCTTTTGTTGTGGGCTATTCAGATCGAGTTGGTATCTTTTTTTTTTTTTTGTTTCTGTTTCCATTCTCTTGGAGTCCAACGCATCTCTCTCCCTCAATCTGGAGATCTCACTCTCTCTCTCTCTCGTTCTCTCTCTATATATTTATGTATGTATGCATGTAATGTATGTAACGTACGTGTGCTCAAAGAAAGCACACCAGTTAGACTGCTCTCTTGCAATAAGTGTCTATTCTATATACACAATTACACATATATACGTGATTATTTACGTATAAAGATGTATATGTACATAGAAGGCATGAAGGGAACAACAACAACAACAACAACAAAGAAAAAAAAAACAAACGAAGCAGTCAAACTACCTTGAGAGTATACACATATATATATATATATATATATATAAGTTTACAAGCCTATACACATTTTCTTCCATTTTATCTATCCAAATAAAAAAGCATCCTTATTCGTCATTCACTCGGTGGCCCCATTCCCTCCTTCTTCTGATGTCTCTAACAACTGAGGATCAATATAAAGATCATGTGGCATTCCAATTGCCTCTTCCATCTCTGCAATTCGAGTAGCCGTACGCACTACTAGAGACTGAATGGGTCGCAGTAGAAACAGTCGCTCCTCATGTTGTTGCAGCAAATCTAATGTCCCAAGTGCTCCCTCCTGCAGTGTCTGTGCCGTCTCATACAATCCACACAGTCGCTCCCACAGAAAAAGTAACACACCATCTAATCCACGCACATCCGCCACTTGACGCCACTCTGGAGTGTCTGGAGGTCTTTCTTGCAATACCGCACTAGAGGAGACTTCCTGTACAAATAGTGCTACGCATGCTTGTATGCTTTCCTGCAGGACACTGAGGGCATCTGCGGTGGTCTGTGCAGCCAACTCCACTCGCTCCTCTAATCCTGCAATGCGAGCAGAGAGCACCTCATTCCACTTGTTGTCCTCTTCATCATCATCATCATCATCATCATCATCATCATTATCATCCCTCTTTTGGTTATTCTTGTTATTATTACTACTATTACTACGACTATTATTATTATTATTATTATTATTATTATTATTATTATTATTATTATTATTATTATTATTATTATGAGGGCTCTTCTCTTGATGATCTATTCCTTCTCTAGTGGATAGTGTCGCCTTCTCCACTTGTTCCTCCTTCAGTGCGGTGTACTGTTCCTGTAGTTCCTTCACGCGGAGCTGCAGTGTTCGGGTCTGTACCTCCACAGCAGCCGCAACACTCTGCACAGCCCCAACACGTTCATCCAAGTGCTCTGTGAGAAGTTCCGCATCTCTTTTGTAATCCCTACGGCTCTCCTCACGCCAACGCTTGTTGAGTTCAGCAGTGGTTTGTTGCTGCGCCTCAAGAGATGTGAGTTTCCCTTCAACGGTACCGCAACTATTTCTACACTCTTCTATTGCCTGTCGTAGTTGTTGTTCCAACTCCACTGACCGTGTTGTCTGATCTCGCTGTGAGGACTCACAAACGTTTAGACGATGTGTCCAGTCGTGTTCATATGTCTGACAACGTCCATTCATTTCGGTGAGTTGCTCCTGTTGTTGTTGGATCTTCTTTGAGAGTTGTGTTAATGCGCTGGTGGTGTCCTCACGCCGGGCAAACACATCCCGCAGAGACTCCACCAACACATCTCGTAATGCCATTTCATCTGCAATGGCCCCCACTACTCGCGCAGCATTTGTCATTTCACGTAAACGTTCGAATTGTTGTTGTAGTCGTTGCAGACCACTCTGCGATGTCTCTTCTGTATGGGAACAACGTCGTTCCATTTCTTCTTCCATGATGAGACGAACTTTCTGCAGTTGTGCGGTGTTGTCCTCTCGCATGCGGTGTAGTTGTTGTGTTACCCGCTCTACTTCCTCCTGCAGACGCATCTCTAATTGATGCATTTCCTCTTTTTGTTGTTGTTGTTGTTCTTTATTTGCAGTGGGACGTGTGCTGCTGAGTCGTTCCACCTCCACCATACGATGCCGCAATCTCTCTAATGCAGAGTCTGTGTAATCACGTAATTTTTCAATTTCTATGAATTGATCTTTTTCTTTTTCTTCTTCTCTTTCTTTTTGTTGTTGTTGGGCTGCTGCTGCTGCGGCTGCTGCTGTACGTTTGGAAACCACGTCCACCGCACTTTCTACATTTTCCAGTTTCTCTGTAATGCCTGTGATCTCTACTAGTACCGTGTCTACTGCAGACTTGCGGGCAAACAACTTTTCATGTGATTTCACAGCCGCTGTTACTTCATCTATACAGAACTTTAAGGTTTCTGTTGCTGTTGTACTATCCTGCTGCCAACCTCGCAATGCTGTGAAGAGACGATCCTCTACACTTCGTAGTCCTGTCTGTAGTTCACGGCGTAATGTCGATATCTGTTGCATCTCCACTTCTACCCGGCGTGAAATATCTTCTTGTTGTTGTTCTTCTCGTTCTTTTTCTCGTTCCTGTTGTTGTTGTTGTTCACTGCGTGTTTGTAGTTCTAAACTCACCCGCCCCAATTCCATTAATTTAGGCATGCAGACATCCTGCACGGTGTGTCGCAGTTCCTCTATGGCCGTCATGCGAACAGCGAGTTGCTGCACCATCGTTGCTGTAGTTTCCTGTTCTTTACGGTGTGTTTGCAGTTGTGCTTGACTGCGTGCGAGTCCCTCACGTGTGTTTGCTTCTGTGGATTGTATACACGCCGCCGACTCCCGCGCACTCGCCCGTGCCTCTTCACATGTTGTTAACGCCTCAGTAAGCCGCGGCTTCCATTGATCCACTTCATTCCGCACCGCCCGTATTTGCTGTTCCACTCGACTGATCTGCTGCTGTAGTTCTAATTGAGAAGATTCTAATGTGTGTTGAACACTTGTCAGTCGTTCTTCCATTTCTGTGATTCCCCGCCGTTCGGTTTGTGTGTTGTGATTGTGTGTTTCTCGCCAACCCGTGAGTTGATCCCGCAGTGTTGTGATTTGTTGCTGCAGTTGATCCTGCAGGTGGGCCGCCTCCTCTTTGCGCAGCATCGTCCGGCCGCACATCTCCACAAGCCGCTCGGTGATGACGGACTCTAATTTCACCGCCGCCGCCGCTGCGTGGGCCGCACTGCAGTTCCGCTCTAATGCCGTCACGCGTTGCCCCACTCGATCCTCCACCGCACGCAATTCACATTCGTGTCGCTGCGCCGCCGTGGAGAGAAGAGAGACGGCAGCGTCCACATCACACACACGCCGCAGTACATCTTCCTTCACTTGACGTAATTGCATCTCCACAGACGGCATGGATTCCCCACTATTACCACTATTACTATTACTACCACTAGTACTATTCTTGTTGCTATTATTACTATGATGATGATGATAGCCGTGGCTCGTTACAAACTCCATCATCTTCTGCATCTCTGCAGTAAAGGTGGATTGCACATCGGAGAGCCGCAGCCGCAGGAGATCCTCCGCACACAATCGCGCCGCATCCCGCGCCACTGATCGCATACGTTCCATCTCTGTATCTATCTTCACATTCACCATCTCACGCAGAACACCATCGAGACGTGTTTGTCGATCCTCTATTAAACGTTTCTGACGCACTACTGTGGATTCCAACTCCTCCACACGCTTGACAAGATCACTGGAGGGAGGAGGATAAGAAGAAAAAACAGCAGCAGCAGCAGTATTAATAGGAGCAGCAGTAGTTGTAGTAGTAGTAGTAGGCGTAGTAGTAGGAGGAGTAGAATGTCTATGTATATCAGTGGTTGGATTTACATTAGAAAGCAGCAATCGCTTTTCCAGAGATCGCACGGTTTCACCTAAATACGCGTTTTCTTTCTTTAACTGTAGACACATTGCCCTCAACTCACCAACTTCATTAGAGAGTTGCTGCTGCACTTCACGGACCCCGTCGCATCGCACAGTCCGCTCCGTATCTAACTCCGCCAAACAGTTCTTTACTTGCCATTGTAAAGAATTCACATTATCACTTAACTCTCCCAACGATAATGGACTACGTTGATGTTGATATTGTTGATGTTGATATTGTTGTTGTTTCTTCTGGTCTACATCCAATGGGGCATCAAATGCGGTTACTAACATCTTTCGTGCGGTTTCATGTTTAGATTGACGTTCCCGCAGGCGCTGGAGTGTCTCTTCAGAGAAGCGGATGTTGTCTTGAAGTGCAACCCGCCAGTTCCCGCCCATGCTGCTCATGCGATATTATGGGAATAAAGCACTTTTTGTTTTTTTTAGTGAATATATATATATATATATATATATATATATATTTATTATATTAATAGAAATAAGAAATAAGGAAAGAAAATAGATTACAAATAATAACATCTCAATTAAAAAAAAAAAAAAACAGAACCAACACTACCAAAGTAGAAAAAGATCAGCATAACAATCATAATAACTGCAGATTATGCATAAAGAGAAAACATTACCAAAAAATATAGAAAAAAAAAATAAAAAATAAAATAAATAGTGAAGAATATATACTGAATATAAAAAGAAAACCATCACCAATGTTTACTTCCAAAACATGGTGAACACTAACTGTGAATAAGCATTTCAAAAAAATAAAAATAAAAATAAAAATAAACCCATATTACTTACTTCTCTGAAATTTCACAACCGTACTTCTTCACATGGAGAAGACATCATCTTCTACAAATGGTGTTATCTTCACTCCTGACTGTGTAATCCCTTCCCCACACTTTAACACCACAGACTTCAGTTGAGAACTGCAAAAGTACGCCGCTCCCTCATCTTTATATTGATCCTCATTCATATTCTCTTCATTCTCATCACTCTCCACAATGTGTGGTGTCATTAAAGGCGTATCGGCGCCAAGAATAAAAGTGGCCGCGGACTGCCATGCAGAAATTCCATTTGATTTCACTGTAGATGGAATACCATGATTACTATTACTATTACTATTGCCATCATCCACAGGAAGAATAGCAGCAACAGTTGTTGTTGTTGTTGTTTTTATCTTTGAATGTGAAAGAGGAATAACTTCTGTACTTTCTTCTTCTTCTTCTTCTTGTTGTTGTTGTTGTTGTTGTGTGGATGTGAAGAGGATCATGGCATCTCGAATGGCTCCTGTCATGGCCCGCATTTCTTCCGCTATTCCATGCAGTGCCGCCACTTGTGCATGTTGTCCATTCACGAGAGCTGTTAAGTGTGAGAGACTCTCTGTGCCGCTGGCCAAATATTTTTCATGTTGTTGAAAAGACTCCACCAATCGAATTAACGCGGCGGTGGAATCTTTTTGTTGTTGTGCTGTTTGTGTGAGTGTGGCCTGCAGTGAGGTGCTGTCGGCCAGCTGTGTGTTCTGTGTGTGTGGAATAGTTAACTGTGATCTCTGCATAGATGCCGGCACTGCATAACCATATCCTCTTGTTGATATTGTGTTTGTGTTTGTTTGTGATGGTCGTGGTAATAATGTTGATGATGATGATATGGATGATATTGTTGTTGTTGTTGGGGCTGTGGGTCCACGTCGGAGTTTATGTGTGAAGATATCTGCAGAGTTGGAGTGTTGTGAAGATACATTATTACCTGTTGGGAATGTTTGTGTTTGTGTATATGGATACGTGTTTGTTTGTGTGTGTGGAGTTTCTCCCAGTTGTGTGTGACTGCGGCGTAAGGGGGCCACGCGGTGCTGAACACCATACATTTGTGAAGGTGAAATAATAATATCTATCTATTAATATATCTAATTATTAATATATAGAGAGATATCTCTGTAGGGAACAATCTATGTATTTCTAATTCTTTGTTTTCTATCCTTTTTCTCTTGTCTAGATTGATAGAGATAGAGAGAGAGATTAATAGAGAGAGACGAGACTGTGGTTTGCCTAGTTCCATTCACAATAAAGAGGGAAGACGAACAACAATCGAGATAGTAATCATATATACAGAAGTGAGAGGAAAGAAAAGAAAAAAAAAGAACAAGTATTATTATCATTTTCCATCCTCTCTTAAAAGTACCCAAAGAATAAATACATTTCTTATCCATATATATATATATATATATATATATATATATATATATATTTATTTATTTATATATATTCAATTAGTCATCATTATTATCGCCATTAAAAGAAAATCCCCACCCCTCTTCTTCTTCTTCTCATAGTTCAGTCTACATGAAACAGTATAGATTCCTTGCCTATACACCATGACCACACATGTCTCAACAAATACGATAATCGTAAACAACATCCCACCGATGGTGGCCCATACAAATACACCTCTTTTCTTTCTTCTTTTTCTTCTTTTTCATTTTCTCTTTTTTTTTCTTTTTCTCCTTTTCTTTCTTCTTTTCTTTCTTTTTCTTTTTCTTCTTGGGATGTATGCATATTTATATTGTGAGATGATATTGTTTGTGGAAAGACAATCCACCCCCGACACTCCACCTCTGGATCTCGCACGTAATAACACCCATCCACACAGTCTAATGTAAATAATGCTGAAAACGGCTTTTCACCCCACGAATGAAAATAACGGTTTTGATCCGCCACTCCAACCACTCCATTCTTCTTCTTATTCTTATTCTTTATATTTATATTTATATACGTAATTACACCAACATGACCCACAAAATTACGATAACTACCAGGATAGATAATAAGACTATCCAACACGGGTGGTTCTCTTCCACCTTGTGGAATAAAACGACATGGCACTAATTCCCCAGTATATATATATATATATATTCTTTACATGGCGTAAATAGATGAGATGAGCTGCCATATCATATTGTGGAAGAGAAAGTCCTTTACAATAAAAGAGCCAACGACGGGCAAACTCCACACATTGCCATTTATATCCCATAAAGTAATTGTGATGATAGTGTTTTTCATGAGTGAAGGTGTTACTAGAGGCGTTACTGTAGGCGGGAATACCGCCAGGCGCATAGCCGCAAATACCATGAAGAGGAACAACTCTCTTTTCTTCTTTTTGTTGTTGTTGAGAAAGGGAAGAGGAGGAAGAGGAAGAAGAGAGATCTTTTTTCTCTTTATTATTCCATTGCATGTGGGAATCGTAATTGGGTAAATCCAGCCCTACACTATATATATATATATATAGACCTTCTTCAGGTGTTGTCTCCCTTGTTAGAAAACTATTCTATCATTATTGCATAGGAAGAAAAAAAAAGAAATGAATAAAAAGAAAACATCAAAAAAGGTTGTATTTTAGTAAATATCTAGACGCTCATTATATATATATATATATATATATATATATACATACGAAAACAAAAAAAAAAAAAAAAAAAAAAAAAAAACAACATCCGTGGGAATGCCCAATAAAAAAGAAAAAAAAATGACAAAAACAAACGCTCTTTTTTTATTTCCTTTTTAGTTCCTTCTTATGATAATTGTGATGGAAATCCACACAGAGAGTATGGCTATACAGAAGCCCAGGATTCCATAAACAAACAAACAAAGAAATGAAAAAAAAAAAAAAAACGAACTTCACACATAATAACTCCAATACTGAGAGCATATAAATTAGCCGATATCCTGCTATTCCTTAAACGAAAGATGAAGATAGCGGAAAAGAAAAAAGAAAAAAGAAAAAAGAAAACAGTATTTAGACTCTTTCCTGTTCTCTGTATTGGATACGTATACTTTCCATTACATATATACATATAAAGTACTGCCGAAAACTTTTCAACTACTGGTGAAGAAGGATTGATTAAATGATCTTCACATTATACCTAACCCTCCTCTAGAAAATATAAATTAATAATAATAATAATAATAATCATAATCATAATCATAATAATAATAATAATAATAATAATAATAATAATAATAATCATAATCATAATCATAATAATAATAATAATAATAATAATAATAATAATTGTCATCATAAATTAAATAAAAACAGTAAAAAAAAAAAAAGAAAAATGTATCCATATAATGATTGGAGAGAAGATGAGAGTTTTTCCCCCATTATAACTCTCTCTCTCTCTCTCTTTCTCTCTTTCTTTCTTTCTTCCCATTTTTGTGATTACGTCCTCTTCATCAGAACACCGATGCTGCTCTTATTAACAGCCCTGAAAGGCACTAGTGAGCCAAACACAGCCGCGAGAAGAGCGAGCACAAACAAAAGCCCAATCAATACATACGGCATCGTAAATTGAAAAGGCAATACCATCACTGTTGCCAGCTGTAAGCCAAGTGTTACACCCACAAAACTTCCCGCCAAAAGTCCAATAAAAAAGGCGGAAAGAACAATACTGAAGGCTTCATAGAGAATAATACGAAATACATGTTGATGGGAACAACCTAATGCTCTTAATACACCCACCACCTGTACATTCATCTGTACATTCGCCACAAAAGTAATACACATCATAAGTGTACAGAGAGAAATACAGACAATAGCTGTAAAATAGAAAAAGTACATGATGAAATTGCCAATCACATTTAATTCATCTATGGACTCTTGTGTATCAAAGACGGTGTGATGGGTTAAATCCATATTGGATATCAATTCATTTACAAATGCTGAACGTTGTGCTGCTGTAATATTTTTATAAAGACGTATAAAGAGTGTCTGTTGTCGTAATTCCGTTACTGCTGTTGGTGGGAGTTTTACATTTGCCTCTTTTCCAAAGTCCATCATAACAGGATTGAGAAGCGTGATAAAGAAAGACTGTGGGATGAGAACAGAACTACTACGAGATAAGAAAGGTACTGAGGAAATACTTGGAAATCCTGAAACTCGATTCATTAATGCTCGTAAACTTACATAGAATCTAGTTTCCACAGAGTCATCTGCTACTTTATATTTATATTCCAACACCATTCCATCACCAACACTCACACCAACACCATTTTGTAATCCAGCAGCCACAATAGCGGGAATTACATATGAAGCCTTTTGCGATATATTTGGCGTTTGCATCCAATCGGTTAATCCAGTAGCGATGGTTTGACCAGCAGTGTGTGAAGGCTGTGGTGGGTGATCATACATACTGGCAACAACATCATATTTCCCATCCACAGTTTTTGTAAAGGGATATCGTTTATCACGGGCTTCTTCCAATATATAATCTTTAAAAACTGTATTTAATAAATTCTTAGATACGGCGATAATAGGCATGGCATTTCCTTTACGAATAGTGGTTTCCAATTTTGTAGGATATCCTATGTGTGGATAGGCATCTAATGGGAAACTGTGATAGGCCCACTCTTGTACATATTCCCCTTGCCATTTCTCCAATAATGCCGTTAATAGTTTTTCATTTAATGGCATATAAAAATCATTAGAAGTGGCAGAAATATCGGCTCCATTGTAAAGTTGAAGGAGTTGTGAAGATGTAACGGAAAGCATAGAGAACATCACACTTCCAGAAACAATACTTGCCACACTTATCAATATCATCATAAAGGTTTTGGAATTTCGTATACGATGATCATATAAATTCTTTTTTACAATAATCATAAATTGTTTTTCACGACCCCACATCATAAGCCAAAGAACAGCAGACTCCGCATACGGTTCAACTACATACATAATAAAACATATTCCAACCACCATCACAATTAAGATAGAGTTCATAAGGAAAAAGAACAATGTTAAATGTTCAAATATAAAAGCAAATGGAATCATATAATACACAATAAATCCAGAAGCAACGAGAAATATACCAAGAATTATTTGCCACGTCGCTACACCTAATTCTTCCAATCGTATCATTACAACTTTCGTCTCACTTTGACCACGACGAAATACATCTAAAGCATCCCGTAAACTACTACCAAGTGCATGGGAAACTGCACCCCAACTGGCGGATAGTGGTAAAGTTATTCCTAATCCAATCGCTATTAATACCGGCATAACGATTATCATATCATAGCGTGGATCTGCAGCTGTGAAATTGGCAAGTACAGCTTCTAATCCAATATTCAGTAGAATAAGAAGAATCACGCCCACTATAATACCAGGAATTACAAAGGCTACGGTCTGAGATAAAATAACAGCCATTACTTGACTCTTTCCCATTCCTTGGGCTCGCATTAAGGCAAATTCAAATTGACGTTCATCCGCATTTGTTCGAAGTAGCATAAAGAAAAGTATCATACATAATATAATAACACCAAATACAATAGTCGTAAGAGAAGAAGTAAGTACTGCTTGATTTCCATCAAAGTCTCCCATAACACGCATAATAGGATATTCTACAAAACCTTCAAAATCTACTCCCATGGAATTACGAATAATGGCATTTGTTCGCATCACCATCGCTTTAGCTCTTTCCTCTTTTCCTTTATAGTACATACTACGCCGATCCTTCAACACAATAGCGAGAATAGGTACGGCGTTTATAAGATCAATCTCACTCAAGATTTTACTAGCAGCTAATACATCTATTATAGAAGGTAATAGAAATCCCTCTCCAGGAGTAAGAGATGTTGGACCTAACAGGCAAGACTGATCCACAAAGATGGAGATTAGTTTTTTGTAATCTATCACCACAATATTTCCATAGAGAGAAGGATATTTTCCATCTGCCGATGTGATTTCATCCACAACATTCATAGCCAGATTCATATTTAACATCTTCGTCAAATCTATAGTGTCACCATCTTTAATGTTATTCAAAGCCAAAAATTTAAGAATAGTGTCGGTATACGTATTGTTACCTTCTTTTAGCTTCTCTAAGTCTACTACAAACGTGGTATTTTTTAAAATAGATCGAAGAAATTCTTGAAGAGGAAGTCGAATATTAATGCGTTCTCCATGATTAGATTGTAACTTCAAGTAGTCCAAAACACCCTTATATACATGCGCCTCAGCATAGCCAGTATCACGATGTTTCCAACCACGTCCTAATCCAATATGCCGTTCCTGTTCACTGTCAATAATAAGAAGATTCACAGAAGCCTCTGCTGGAGTTATTCTTCTACTTCTAGCTGTAGAATATCGTTTATGAAATACATCTTCATGATAATGTGCTGTTGCGGGAGTAACCCATCGTGGGGCCACACCACGAATTTCTCTTGTTGCCATTAAACGGGACTCAACAGAAGTATAGTTAACTAATCCACTAATCCTGTTTCCACCGCCCATAATCATAATATCAGCTTCTCCAACAGTTAACTCGGCGAGTCGTAGAAAAATATATGGGGCTTTTTCAATACCCATCAAAAGAGCACCAGAGAAGAAGACAAGAAGAATAACAGCAAATACACCAATACAGAAGTTACGTGGACGGCGAATAACATCGGCTACTGTGTAAGAAACAGCCACTCGAAGTATAGAATATAAAGAGTAAAGTCGTAATAGATTAGATGAGACGGCGGGGTCAGAGGAGGAATAACCGGTACTATTGTCTTTCAGTGTGGATCGAAAGAAGGGCTCGGAGACATGCACCTGAGCCGGTGTGTCTTCTTGGGATGGATCTCTGTTCATTTCTTTCTGGTGCATTTGCTGATCCCAACAAGAGAAAGATATTCAACTGTTTCTCTCTCTCTCTCTCTCTATTGGGGGAAGAATAATAATGTGAATAGAGTGTTTGTGTAGATTCTTCAGTGTTGCTTGTTTCTTAAGTTTCCCCTGTGTGCAACACACCCACCTCCTCCAAATGGAATTTTTCTTGATGTTTTGTGAATGAAGGAAGTATATTGAAGTAAGGCTATACATAAAAACAAACAAGAAAAGAAAAGAAAAAAATATATATATGAAGTATAGTTTTACAATAAAGAAGAAGGTATATACACAAGGAGACACAGAATGATGTCAAAAAGTGAATACGTGAGTGAGAAACGAAAAAAAAAAAAAAACGGAGATCGTTAAACGAAAGTCAAAAAACAAAAAGAAAAAAGAACAAATATAGATAGATAAATAGTTTAGATATGGAGAATAAAAAAAGAATCACACATCCAACACCGTATAGATCAATAACACCCGATGTATTCCCCAATTACAACCCTTTATTGATAAATTCACTCCACTCTTCTTTTTTCCTATTCAATCCCTTATTGAAGTATCATTTCCCCAGTTTTTTTTTTTTTATCATATCTATTGCCTCTTTAATTGTACATGGTGGGGCTTTGGCATATCGTTCCTCATCCACTGGCGGCAGCCACTGTCGCAATTCCGCCTCATGTTTATGTATTAACATAAAGCTCAAACACGGATTCACTACTTTGTAGCCGTGCCGCTGCAGCTCGTGAAGGACGACATTCTCCGCCTTATAACAGTTCTGCGGGTGTTGTACACTTTCAATAAAGGAATGCGGGAGTGGTGGAGAGAGAATAAAGGCATCATGCGAGCCACGATAATCATAAATGAGAGGAGCATCCCATCGCTTCTCACTCTCATACCGTGTTAATGCCAGAGCCACACGATGGGATGTATGTAATGATGTAAATAACGGCTGCAGGGAAGAGACAGAGGCACCATCTAATGAGAGATACACATCAGCATTACATATCATTGTTAATTTACCCCGCAGTAGTCGATTGGCATGTTGGAACATATCAGCATATGTGGGTTGTTTCTCGGGCCACAACACCGGTATGATTTTACGTCGTAGTGTGGGAGATGGAAAGAAATTGTTATTCTGCATAACGTGATCGCGGAAGTGATCATATGCCTGTTGGCCTTCAATGAGAATATGCAACGATTCCACTTCTCTGTGTTCGGCATTACGGCGAATACACTCAAGATACTCCTGTTGCCGCACCGTACGGTGACGAAGTGAGGCTTCACCAATAAACATACTGCCAGCCACACGTTTTACTAAGAAATAGGATGTTACAATATTCATTTTTATTATATTTATTATTATTCACACCAACCCCCCACTGTGATGTGTTTATTACGCCTGTTCTTTTTTTTTTCTTTCTTCAATTTCAATTTCCCTTTACCGCCATATATATATATCTATAACTAATATATAAATATAACCACTTACAGTCTCTGCAAGTGTCAGTAGCTGTACATTTTCACGGTAAACAAGAACACCAATAAACAACACACACCCCAAAAAAAAAAAAAAACAGCCATATCGAAGACAACGAAGAAAAAAAAAAAAAGAAGACATGAAAAACAAAGAAAGATGTAAGAATGGAAACAAAAACAGTAAAAGAGAGAGAAAGACGAGCAATAAATGAATTAAAATAACAAATAAGAAGATATTTAAGTAAAAGAAAAAAAAGCAAAAGGAAAAAAAAATAATCTCAAAAAAATGAAAATACACCAACGCAGCAAACACAAAAAGCCGTAAAACACCAAGCAACGAAAAAAAAGACGAACGAGAATCAACACAAAAAAAAAACGAAAAAAAACAAAAAAAAAACTCCACTAATTCCTCTAGCAAGAGACATAGAGAAGGGATCTAATACCCCTCCCCACCAAATAAAAAAGAAAAAAAATTACAGGAATAAATAACTTATGTCTAGAGCGCTCTTTTAATTATTACCTTTCCATTTTTCCCTTTTGCTTTCCTTGCCTTTTTATTTTTCGTCTGCATTCCTATTTTCCCAATCACATTCCATTTGGACGATCCTCAGACTTTTGTTTTGGCTAGTTTTTACGTATTTTGGTGGTACTCCCTGTGCCTTGTAAAGCCCCATCCCAGAGAAAGAACACCGTATCATTGCCCCACGCCTCCACACAATAAGGACGTATGTACACACAGAAAAGAAAACTGTATGTACATATACATATAGTGTATGTGGACACAATTTATTCTATATACGCACCCCCCACCCTTCGCTTCTACGGAATAATTCTAAAGTGACAAGTGGTTGTCTCATCGTACTTTTCATTTTTACGAACCAGAGTACTTGGGAATGAGGGAACGTTAACCGAGTTTGGAAAGTACTGTGTCTCCAGACAGATCCCACCATACCGCTGGAAGCGTTCTCCTGCTCCACCACTGGCATCTTTTGGTAAATGAGTCGCCGTGTACACCACGACTGCTGGCGATGTCGTCTCCACAGTCATGGAGATATGCGTTTTGGGACTGAATACAACTGCGGCCTCACGCAGTTTGGAATCCCATGTTTCCAATGCAACAGGATCATCATAGCCTGGTGGGTCACGTCCCTCCTTCCCTGTTTGCTCCAGACCCTCCGCTATTGGACGAGAGCGTCTGTAATCATGCAGTGTGCCCTCCACCTCGTTCATTAATCCTGTTGGGATGAGTCCCTTGGTCTCTGCAACATAATGGGAATGAAGTTGCAGATGATGATTCAATATGTTCTCTGGTAAATGCCGGTGGGCTGGTGATGATGATGAAAAAGGCACCCCATTGAGATTCCAGTATGCGTGGTTGCATAAATTGACGGTTGTGGTATTCACCGGTGAGGCATCGGAAAGCACTGCCTGCAGATTCCACTTCAGGGTTGCTGGTTTATTCTTCAGAATGCTGTACGTTGCCGTAACGAACACCTCACCCGGGAATCCCTGATCAAGATGCGGGGAACTGAGGTGAAAGGAAATCCCGATCTCCTCCTCCCCCTCTAGTAAGAGATACTTCCAATGTCGCTTGGAGAAACCATCGGGACCACCATGCAGAGTGTTCTTGCCGTCATTCTGCAATAGTTTGTAGGACTTGCCATCCAGCACCAATTCACCATTCTCAATACGGCCGGCATAACGCCCACATGTGCGTCCCATGTATGATGAGTCGTGATCAAACTCCTCCGGTGTGTCGTACCCGAGTGTGAGTTCGACCCATCCATCCTTGTCAGCCACGGCCGCGGCTGGAGATGTGGGGGGAACGCGGTACTGCACAGAGTGGAGTGTGGCACCCTTTGTGAGTAGCGCCACGCGGAGATCAGGCGAGATGAGTCTTATCTTAAAGCCGTCGCCAAAGGGCTCCACGTGGCTTTGGTACTCATTTGCGCTGCCAGCGACCATGTGATGTGGTTAAAGTTAGATAAATAGATCAAGAGACTTATGTGTGAATGAATGTAAGCGTGTGGGTAAAGGAATCAGAGGAAAGAGAAAGAGAAAGACAAATACAGACACAGAGATGGATACATACATATATGTATACACATATGGAAATAAACACCCAGACAGTAGAGATCAGATGAGATTTATTCCCACAGCTGAGAGTTGATCTGCGAAAAAAGAGAGAAAAATGCATTCACACGGCCATAGCAACATGCCTAGCCCAAACGCATAGAAAAAAAAGGAGAAAGGGAGTAAAGATGGACCATAGACCAGAATTGGACGAGAATCAAGGTCCCGTAATAAAATAATAACAAATAATAGAACATACCCTCCTCACCAAATAAAAAAGAAAAAAAAAAAAAACGCCATGAGAACAATATACAGCAAAATCTGTGGGAACACTGCATATTATCTTTAAGGTTGTGCTTATACACAGGTAGTGGCAATGCAATATCTATGCATTCATACGTAAGAATCTATACACTTATGTGCATGTAGGTATGATGTACTCTTCTTTCTTTAAAAAGAGAATTAAAGAAAGTAAAAGAAAAAAAAAAAGACCTTAATCCCATACTTCTTTATTCCAATTAAGGTGAGTGAGATGTATGCTTTATCCGTGAAAGAGTGTTAAGCCCCGCGAGTGCCTCCCTGTAGAGCTGCACACAGCGAATTCCTGCTAATGAGTCGAGACCAATAGCGTAGTGAAGTGCCTGGGCATCACGCAACTTCTGTAGAAAAGCCTCTGCAGCGGCATCAGTAGTAATCAAATCTGTCTTGGGCTCTCGTTCTCCATTATGTAGAGCCACATGGGGATGATACATCATCTGGTAGTGTTTTTTTTTTTTAATTTTTAATTTTTCCTTTCTTTGGTGCGAGTAGAAGAATTACACACAAGAAAAAATAAGAAGAAAAGTAGTAGAGAAATCTTGTTCTTGGTTGAATAATAGAAAAACACACACACATAGAGAGAGAGAGAGAGAGAGAGAGAGAGCGAAGGGAACGAAAATATAGAGAAAGAAACGAAGAGAGAAAGAAAAATAGAGAAGCAAATAAACGCAAGAGAGTTACATGATTACAACTGTGCCACTAACGAAATACCACATCAGCTAAACTGTACATAATAACTATTCCAGAGAAAACATAACAGGTAAAAGAGAAGAGAAACATTTTTTTTTTTTTCGGTAAATAACATCGAAGTGTTCTTATTCATTACATCGTATACGTGTTGTTGCTTCGGCTCCTCATGAGATCATATTTAGACACATTTCAATGATTCCTTCTTCCTCCTCTTTTTTCTCAATCGTTACCACCCCTTTTTTTTTTTTTTATTTATTCCAATAAGGTTGTCCAACAACAGCCATTCCAAATAAAACTAAAGAAAAAAAAAGATGGGGAAAAAAAAAGGAAAAGCAAACAACAACCACAACCACGAAAAAAAGAAAGAAAGAACGAAAGAAAAAAGAATACGTCCATAATTTAAGAAACTTTCTTCCGTAATTTGCTTTTCTTTTCGTCTGAATTTCTCGAGTGTTTTTGACTCGGAGTCCGTCGACGTGATTTTGGCCGCTCCGCCAACCGAAACGATGCGGCTTGAGAGATGGATGGAAGTGCCACGGAACTTGTGCGTGATTTTCTATTCTTCAACAGTGAAAGTGCTCTCGCTTTGGGGATATCTGCCTTTGCGCCCTTCTGCTGTATAAAGTATGAACACACCCCCCGGTATTCCCGCTGCACTTCATGCATTTTACTTCGACACCAATGCTGCCACTGTGAGGATCGAGTTTCACTGCACTCCTCAATGACATTCATTGCCTTCACTGTGAGGGCGACGACCATGGCCCGCCACCAGGTATCAAAACAGAGTGGAATCCGCTCCATTTCTCGTTCAATGAGATTTGCGGTTTTTCGTAAGACTTGATAAGAGTTTGTGGGGGCACAACGACGAAGGAGTGGATGAAGTGTAACTTCCGGATCTAATGTTGCGCCAGTGGTGGCTTGAGCACGTTGTCGAAGTAATCGCCGTGTGGTGGCTTCCCACATGGCCACCTGTGAGTGTTTCTGTTCCCTCTCTTCTTCTATTTTATCCCCCAAAACGGAGTTCTTTTTATTATTTTGCGTAGGTGGTTTTATAGGTATAGAGGCTATTAAAGGAATCAGTTCATTGGAATCTACAAGTGGTAGATGTTTTCTTGCCGCCACTAAAGAAGATACAAGTGCGAGTAAAGATTCATCTTGTAAAGGTTTCATAAGTACATTATAAAAGGCACTACTATTCTGAGATATATTATCCAATACTCTTGATGCCGTTCGTGGATGTAGCATAACACCTGTTAAACATGTTAAATAAGGAGAAGATTTAAAATATCCAACTAATGCACCTGAGAGAGATGCATTTCGCACCAATGGATCTTCTCCAGACATGAGAGCATAACATTTACTAATACAAGAGGCAGCTACAGATGGTTCCACTTCATATTCAGAAACCACAACTTTTGCAGATATATCTCCAGAAGCACGAGCACAGAAAATATTTAATATTCGAGTTGGTGTTACATCTGTATCATCTTCATATGTTTCTTCTCCATCTACATCTGCTCCCGTTATACCAAGCCATTCATTTAAAGTACTCAAGGCTCCAGAAAGATCACACCAGGTTCTATTGGTCTCCATGAGGGCACTAATCGTTTCAACACCTTTACTTCGCACGGTATCACTAGGACTTGGAGAATCACCAAAAACAAACTTTTCTCGCATTTCAGATTCCGCCTCACCTCCAGGATCACGAAAAAGCTGCATAAGTGTTCCAGTAGCAACATCATAAATACCATTAATAAGAGGTGGTAATTTTACGGTATTACAACGTGGAGGTGGTATGGCACTTTCACCATGCGCACGTCCTTTTTTATCCGTTGAATAAGGTGTTGGATTCATTTGTGTAGATAACTCCGCTGGTGCGGTTGTGGTATGTACGTAAAGATCACGATTTTCTGGAGGCACAAAGGCAGAGTTTACGAGAATTTTTAAATAACGTGCCAAAGCATCTACATTCCAGCGGAGATGATTGCTGCTACTTGCAGGAAGATATCCAAAACTAACAGCATTATTTAAAGCAGGAATAAGCCAACAATCAAATAGGATAAATTTAGCTAATCGATGACATTCAATACTTCGAATAAGTCTATCCGTTGAATCATGATGATGTTGACCAAAACCACCAGTTCCTGCTCCTGCTGTAACTCGTTTCTGTCTCATCGCATTTATTGTTTTTCTTACACGAATAGCAGGTTTATCATTTACACCATCAATCACAACATGTTGTCGTAGTAAATGAAGATGAATGGTAGTACAAAAACTTGTTAAGATAACAGAAATACCCTGGGGAAGACGTGTCATGGATCTCTTACCATGTAAGGCACTAAAAAATTCTTCCATCACATATTGTATATCTTGACAAATTAAATCTTCTAACCTTTCCATACGTTGAAAATAGGCGGATTCCTTATCGCTTAGATGTTGCCAACGAGATAACTCACGTCCAAAGACAGTTAAGCCATCACTGCTACGTTCAAAACTTCCACTCATTCGAGAAACGGACTCTCTCGGAGAGAAATGCGGTTGAAGTTCCATTTCTAATCCATTCACATATAATAAAACACTTTCACGTCGAAGAATATTAAACATTCTTCCTAGTAGTTCCTTAAGCCAAGGAGCACCATGAAGACGAATATAACTTGTGATAAAGACAAGTGGTGTGGTAAGAAGTGTAGCCCCTAACGGGAGATCAGCCGTGACGGTAGATTCACTTGGTATTAATGTCCGTTGTCCCGCAATACGTTTCTTTCGTTGTTTTTTAGAAACTGGTATATTAGCGGTTCGTTGTCGTTGTTCCTGTAATCGTATCTCAAGAAGTTGTTGACGTTGTAATTCGTATCGTGTGATGGCTTCTACAAGTGAAAGGGTGGCATCATACTCTTGTGTGCGTCCCACTATATATGTAGTTGTCCGAACTGGTGTCATTGATAATTCAGATGGGGCGATACCACTCATACTCTTTTTACTTTCCGCCGCAATAGAGGTACCAGCGTACATGCTTGATAACACGATACTCTTCTTTGAGCGAGAGGATGGACGAGATGAGGGTTTCTGTTCCACAGGTATTAAGCTATTGGCGGTTGGTCCATCTACAAACCACTGTGCAAGTGTGAATAACTCATCAAAGGTGGTATCATTTAATTGTCTTAATGTATTCCACTCCAACTGGTCTATATCTTCAGTAGCTGTCATGGGTGTACCCATCTTGTTCACATCCTGCTGTTCTTGTTTTAAACTATCAGAGTCATCAATACCACCACCAACAACACTACCTTTGTCACTACCATTGTTATTATTATTGTTAGTAGTAGTACCAGAAGTAGTAGGATTCGTACGTGTACTAGTCGTATTAGTGTTGGTGTTGTTACTACTACTACGTTCTTCAGCAACTTCATTCTTCTTTGGTTGAGCAGAAGAGGTGTTACCACAACCGTCGGGATCACTAAGATCATATCCACACTGACGCTGTAATGCCGCAGGGCTTAAGAAACAGGAGGCGGTATCCGGATCCAGCACCACATCGGTAAGGAAATCCAGTACAGAAACAGCCATGGAGAGTGTTGTGCGGGAGGTACTCTGTTCATATGCGAGAAGTAAATCTTCTGTGAGTTGTTGAATAGCCGTTAGTGGACATTGTACAGTTTCTGTTACTTCTTCTCTCGCAACACGAGAGCGTCTTTGTCGAAGATCCGCTGCCATTTGTCGTTGACGATCACTTACCGCACAATCAAGAGAGTGTGTATGGGCAGTATTTCTTATGAGATCTAGAAGTACATATAATGCGGAAATATGTGCATGATTAAAACTAGAATCATGAATAAGGAAAAAACTAAAAGGAGCTAATTTCCACGCCTTTCGGTTTTCATACGTTTCTCGCCATGTGGCATATTGACTAAACAGTGGAAGTCCAATTAACTCTGGTGGACCACCACGTCGTCCTCTTTCTCTAGCCACAACACCAACACCTGCCAAACGCTGAAGAGCATCCGGTGGGGCAATCACTGCAAAAAAGGGTGCGAATTGTTGTAATGTCTCCATAAGTTTCTCATCCTCCTTCGTTCCTGTTCCTATTGGTGGCACATTATGTGTTGTTGTCGTTGTTGTCGTTGTTGTTGTTGTAGTTGTAGTTGTAGCATTAGCATTAGCATTATTTGTTATTGTGGTGGTTGTCCCTGCAAACTCCACCGTCTCTGCGCGGAATGATTTTGATCTAATTTCCGTAAACACTTTCCGTGGTTTTGCCGATCTCTGTGTCTCTGCTGTGTTGGTCACAACTTCAAGTAAACGCCTCTGCACACTTGCCGCAATCCGGCCACGTTCTCTCGCCTCCCGTTCAAACCACAACATAATGCGATTATCCATTAACAACTGCCATGTCTCTCGCTGCAGTCGCTGCAATTCATCTGTTGTCTCCACCGTGGGAACAGGAACGGCGGTGGTTCTCTCCGTCACGCTGCTCAACAGTACAGTACTGTTCCCCCACTGTGAAGAGGAACGGCGGGCGGCGGGAAATGGCGTTCGCGTCTCGTGTGATTCCTGCGGGGCGGCTGTCTTTACGGGTGAGAGCATTGTACTGTTGCGGCGACTGAGGAAGGAGAACATATTCTCCGAGAAGAGTTGTTGGTCTGTGAGGGTCTCGAGGTATTCAAAGCCAGAGGAGCGTCGCCGGACATCAAGGGAAACACGGCGGGAGGCCATGCGATTTCCATTTAAACTCGCTCTGCGCAACATGGAGTTTCTACGCGCTGTCATGTCAAATGCATTTTCATCCTCCACAACATCATGAGCTCCAACAACACCATGAGATGATGTAACCGAAGCCGCAGCCGCAGCAGCCGCCGTATTCTCATTATTATTATTATTATTATTATTATTAGTTGTTGTTGTTGTTACTGTACCTCCTCCTTGTGTGTCTGTATGTGTATGTAACTGTCGTTGATGGGTGGTGGTGGTGGTGAGGCGAGTAGTTATGGTCTCTGGATTGCGTGGCATTGGTGGGGCGTATGTGCAGATCCCGTGTTCTTTCAGATATAAATTACGCCACTGGTATTCATTAGACTTGGGTACAGAGAAGCGGTGATCTGGCATCCTCTCTTTTTCTCTATCTCTCTCTCTATTCCTTTCTCTTGCAGTATATATATGTATATATGTGTATATATGTGTGTATATATATATGTGCAAGAAGATACAACCTAGGAGAAATAATGAGAAGAACAAGGCGAAGAGTGAATAAATAAGAAGAAAAAAAAAATGTCTGGTTCCATCTCAGACCTTTTTCTCTTGTTTTAGTTTACTGGAGCGTTAACGGGGTAAATAAGAATTATAAATAAATAAAAAGAAAAAAAGTGAAAAAGGAAACACCTGAGAACAATGACTATTTGGACATCAACACACACACACACACAGAAAAATAAATAAATAAATAAATAAATAAATATATATATATATATATATATATATCTTTTTATGGTTTCTTTTTTTTTTTCTTTCTTTGTGTGTGTGTGTGTGTATGTACATTGATAAAGATAAACACATGATTGGTGTCCAAAGAAAAGTTACACCAACAGGTGTCCCAATGGCAAAAAAAAAGCCAAAAGAAAAGCAAAAAAAAAGAAACATAATCAAACACATGTATTCACAAGACACATTTGGTTGTTGCTCACACACACACTCACAAACAATCTCTCTATCACTTTCTTTTTTACGTATTTCACATCCCTTTATTTCATTTTTTTTTACTTATTTTTTTTTTCTTTCTTTCTTTCTTTATTTTGTTTTTTTCACGTACTTCGCGATTTCAGTTGGTCCAAACCCATTCAAAATAATTTGCAGAATCATGTAACATCACTCTAAATACCACACCCCTCCCCCTTTTTTTTTTCTTCTTTGCACTAGAACTCATACATAAAGTTAAACTATCACTCTATTTCACACTCACTATTTCTACAAACGCTTAAATACTTACACTCATGCACACATGCACTACTGATTCCCTTTCTTCCTTGTTTGCTTGCAGCCAGAATTTCTATTTCATAGTTATACATCTTTTCGCTTCTATTCTCATTCTTCTTCACACTCATCAATATATATATATATATATATATATATATATACGCAGAGAGTGAGAGAGATGACAGTGAAAAGAAAGAGAAAAAAAAAAAAAAGAGTGAAAGCCTATCGCACAATAGTGGTAAACTTTGCAAGCAGTACCCAAGCTAACGCAAACAATAATAAAATAAGCAAAGCGAGTTGAGCCACATCTCCATTAAACCGCGCGGGCTTCAATCCAATATTAGATAAGTATTGCACACACATAATGGGAATACTGTTTGCCGCTGGTTTCCCTGTTTCATCTGTTGGGGCGAAGGTACAAGCCTGTCCATCCAATTCATTTACCAATAACGCCTCAAAGGTTAGAAAGAATGGCGATATAGCCTGAAATGGATGTAAGGCTTTTGGCACCGTTTCCGACTGCACGAGAAAACCTCCAAAAACAAAATTCCACAAAATCACAACACTACTGAGAAGTGCCGCTGCCCCAAAGGAGCCGGTGAGAATTCCAATACAAAGCACTACCAAGGTAATACAGACAGAGAAGAGAATGACAACGACGATGAACCAGAAGAAATGCACCCCATCATCCACTCGAAGTCCCATTGGGAAATAAATAAGAGATGCAAGAACCATCGCTGGCACAATACGAAGTGGAACAATATCCACCAGAATCTTTGAAAGAAGATAAGGTAAGGTGCGATAGAAACCATTTTCTCGTTCCACAACGAATAGTTTACGTTCTGCAATAAGTTGTTCCAGAGAACTAAGGGATACAAATGAGACCACCAGTAGAAGAAAGGTAATGGATCCAGCACGGTTAAGAGCTCCAGGAAGATCAAGATTTTGTTCACGATAGAGAAACATCATGAGAACCCCAACAAAGGCCGTAACAGCCGCATGACAGACAACTAAATGAAAAGAAGAAACCAAACAACTGGCAGCCCGTGATGTTAACAACATAAATTGTTGATATACATTTGCGTAATAAACACGAAAAGCAGCAGCTGTACGGAGAATATCTTCACCAGCCACTAGTGATTCATTTTCTGTAAAATACTGACGATTATAATTTTCCCGTGGTTGTTGTTGTTGTTGTTGTAAAGATTCTGCATTTTCATGTATGATGGCAACTTGTGTAACATCTTCTGCTTGTAATTCCATTCGCGCCGTATCATCAAGAATTTCCTCTAACTTCATAAGATACTCTGCATGATTTGGATGATCCATACTGCGAGGAATTGACCTTGTATTACCTAAAACACGTACAACACGACTTTCAAGGGTTTCTGCAGCAGTATTCGCAGGACCACAGTAAACACTTACACCACGTGAAAGTAAAAGTAATTTGTCAAAGAGATTAAATATCTCTTGTGAGGGTTGATGAATACTAAAGATAACAATTGGTTTAAAAGCAAAATAATGTGGAGCATACGCCCGCATAGGTGATTCTTTTGCAAGTTCAACTACAGCTTCAATGACACGTTTAGCACTTATAGCATCTAATCCACTAGTTGGCTCATCAAGGAAAAGAATACGTGGATTAGCAAGCAACTCTACTGCAATAGAAACTCGTCGTTTTTCACCTCCACTTACCCCACGTAGACCACTACCATCACCAATTAATGTATGTTCACAACGTTGGAGTTTCAATGCTTCAATCATACGACGAACAATACCCTTTATAGTGGAATTAGAAAAAGCTTGAGGAAGTTTCAAACGTGCTGCGTATTCAATTGTTTGATATACTGTTAAAGCAGGCAATAATGTATCCTCTTGTGAAACATATCCAATAATATTTCGGTACAACTTAAGTGAAGCAACAGAATTAGTGGAAACTGGTGTACCGTTAAGGCTCATGGATCCTAATACTCTTCCTTGTTTACTGCGTGCTGAGAGAAGATCCAGAAGTGTTGTCTTTCCTGCTCCAGATGGACCAAGAATAGCTAACACTTCACCTGAATGTACTGTAAAATTTACCTGCTGTAGAATAAATCGTGTCCTTGATTCCTCATCAATAGCGAAGCGTGATCCTGTTAAAGCATATTCTAAATCTGTTAATTTGAGTTCAAAAGGTGACTTTGCAAGTTTACGAACGAATTCAATTTGATCAGCTTCATTTGCCATAGTAGTAATCACACGTCTCGCATCGCTTGTGGTATGTGATTGACTTCTCAAGGCAAACCCAACATTTTCATCATCACGGTGTGTCACATTTTCTTCTTCTTCTTTACTATCCATTCTCATGGGTTGTTGTGGTTCTTCTTGATTTATATTTTCCTCATTATTATTGGTGTCATCATCATTATTATTATTTCTCTCTCGTTTGTTGTTGTTGTTGTTGTTGTTGTTTTGTTCTCTTTCCTCATTCTCTTCCTTTTCTTCATCTTTTTCTTTTAATTTTTCTTCATCATCTATTTCTCGAAGACTTCCAGAGTGTGGTACAGATTCTGAGAGTCCAAACATACGAACAAATTCAATAGCCTTTCTCTTGGATCTTGAGGAAAGCCAATAAGCGTGTGCTGCAATTGATACAATCAGCAGAGTTATTGCGATAATAAGAATCACCAAGAGATTACGCTGGGCTTGCGTAGTATCTGGTTCTTCAACTGTTGATGTTGCTGGATATTTTTTCGTATCTACACACTCACTGGCAGTACAGTTAAGATCAAAAACAAGAGCGAGGTCAGCCAGTGTCAATTGACATTTTTTTGTTTGCAGATTACACACATACTTTATACTATTTTTAATATTTGGTAAAATTGATTCATTAAGCACTGTTTTTGAGCAAAAAGGAACATACTTCGCTGGTGGGTCTTTAGCACACAAACATTGCGTATGTTTACATTCGTACAAAACTATCATGTTTGAATGCTTTGGACGCATGCTTACGAACATAATAGTAATAAATAGTAATGTGGAAAGTACTAGTGTAGTACCCAAACCTACCACAATTTTTGCTGTTCGATGACGACCAAGTTTAGATGAGATACACCGTAGCATAGCTAGTAATGCACAAAGGGTGACAAGCACTACCTGTCCTGTTATCATGAGTCCTTTAAACACTTTACTTAACTTTGAATTGTAATTATCATTTTCATTTTTAGATTCTTCTGAGACTTGCATAGAACACGGTGATGAAATGCATCGAAAAAATTTATCTACATATTCTTCATTTGGCTCTATACGGAACAAATCCATAGAACATTCACCACTAGCACCATTGATAAAAGAATCATCATTTCCTGTAGAACAGTTAAATATGACCCGAGCCTCAATATCGCGACCTCCACCCATAAGATTAACAAAAAAAGGGGAGTCAAGAGCACATTCAAACTGTTTATTTGTTCCTCGGATTACGAGACTATGATTACACTCATTAGCATAACGACTACGCTTAGAACACACTCCATCGCGTTGACACAACTCGCAACTCAAACCGGAAAAACCGTTCGTCGCGGCACACTGGCAAACATCACCTTTCCCAGTCACCGGAACACCTCCATTCATACACGTCTCCTCATCCTCTACCTCCTCCTCCAATTTGTAAATGCCATGAGCAGCCGTGACTGCGCTCAGCGGCGTAGACAAACCTCGTGGCCATAAGAACTCCGCAAACGGATCAACGGTGCCATACCCACCAGGAACCACACTATCACCATACACCGGCTGAGGAAGCGTTAAAGCTCCAGCAAACCACAAGGCCGTTAGAAGGAACCAATACTTTGAAAGAACGTACATATTACAAAAACAAGAAAAAAACCTAATTTACCAATTCACAAACACAAACGAAAAAAAAAGCACACATATATAAAAAAAACCCCTCAAAGAGAAAAAAAACAAACAAACAAACACAAACACACACACAAAAAAAAAACGACAAATTAAACCAAGAAAATGATCACATAACTATAACATTAACCCTGTTTTAAAATTAAAAGCATATTAAATACAACATGAAAACATACTAAGAAAAAATACATTATCACAGTACTACAGTTAGCACCCTGCATCAAACATCACAGTTGTGTGTGGGGTGGAGGTGGGGGTCGAGCAAAACGGAGGGATAACCAAGGGTGCGTGTGGATGGACTCCGACCTGAAGAGAGTGAGGGGGTGGGGTGGAGTGGGAAAAAGACACCCTCCGTGGGGCTCGAACCCACGACCACACGGTTAAGAGCCGTGCGCTCTACCGACTGAGCTAGAAGGGCCGTGCCAAAAACAACACCATCACACAACAATAATGTCGACATCACAGCAGACACAACACATGCAAACAAACAAAACAACAAACAGCAGTCTTGCCTTCCTTCCCTCCTCCTCTCCTTCAGAACATCCCTCCAAACAGCTGCAATGAGGGAGGGAGGAGGGCTCAGGGGTTCTTCCTGAAGTAGACCCCTTTAACGGTGCATCCGTTGTCGTATGCTAGGATCATAATACACCAAAACAAATACACCGACAGCAACAATTCAAACTGCAGGCCTCCGCCGCAATTGGGTGTTGTACATACAGGCAGTCCATCATCATTACACAGCATCTCTCTCTCTACCATGCCATGTCATGCTAGTGTCCAAGAACCACGATAACATGATTCCCCACTCTACGGCAAGAAAAGAGGGAAATGAAAAAAAGAATCACAGAGAAGGTTCCCCCTATTTTAACCATGGCCTTCTTTTTCTTCATGCACATCCCATTCTACAGGGCTTGTTGTTGTTGTTCAGTCCATACAAACATCAGTGCCAACAATTATATACATGTCAGCCACAAAAACACAGAATCTGCCATATCAACCAGAATATTCTAAACCTTACTTTCACCCTATAAATAGAAGAAAGAAACAGAAAGGAGAAACAATATTTTGAACATATTATACCAAACCCCACATTCCACGTTTTCACACATACATCACGATTCCTTCTCCCGATGCGTCTTCACCAAATAAGTAACAGAACCAACAATACTGAAGTGCTGAGAGACCCTTTAACCTGCCACCCACTCGAAACGGTGTGGGTTAGGTTAGGTTGGGTGGACCTTCAAAAACCTACCGTTCGTAGGCTGTAAATATAAAAATAAATGTGCGAAACACATATTCCCAGTAACAATTTTTTTGCATTATAAATACAAGACATGATCATTTTTCCCATCAACCGCAAAAAAAAAGATAAAAAACGTTCAAATTAATACCTAAAAATGCTTTTTTCCCCCTTCACTACCCCTTTTATTCCTTTGCTCCCTGAATTAGTGTTCGTCCAATCATTTTCCTCGTTCGCTTACTCATTCAGGTACCCTGTTTCGTTTGGCATGGGGAGTTTTTCCCTTCCCTTTCCCTTCCACTCATTTGTTCAGAGATGCCATATCAATAACAAAACGGTACTTCACATCACTCTTAATCACCCGTTCGTATGCAGTGTTAACATAATCGATGTTTATCTTTTCGATTTCTGACACGATGC